GACGCTCTTGTGGCTGTATCATCAGCGCATTTTTATTGTTGCTGGACGCCAGCATCAGCGGCTCTCGGATTTATGATTGCAATATCACCTCGGAAATATATTTGGGAAAATGATAGATAAATATTTCAATCATCTGGAGCTCCGAAGTATATATCCATTTGACCATTGGCGCTACCAAATGTAATGGGATTGCTTTTCATCGCACAGCAAGGAGGCTCAGTCTCTACGAGTTACTGCATTTAAAATAGCTCGCATGCTCTATTCAAGAGCGGAATGGATGGTCTCTCGAGTAGCCAAGTTCTTTTTGCTGGTGGCTTTAAGCTCGCCGAGCAAGACACTAGTGTGATGTGTGCGTACTTTGTTAAAACGGCAGGTTCTCTTGCATAATTATACTTTAATAACGGATTGCACAAATCAACTTCTTGGGCCGCTACCATCTACAGCTTTACTTGCATTGTGCCCCTGCCCCCACCGTCACAGTGGCGTGTAATAGAGTAAAATTGGTAAGTACCAACTTGTGCAAAATCTAGTTCGCATTGCGTTCTAATCCGTACTGATTTTGTAGTGCGAATGTTGCGCAGCTAATTATATGCCAAATTAGCATACAGTGAATAAAGTTCTAACTTTAATGTCGATATTGGGTTGACATGAGTGGTTCATTATTTCTACTAGTTTGCATTTTGGGATGGATGACCATTACCATGACACGTCATAGTGACGTTATAAACTGACAGCGAGGATTATGCCTGATCGCACCTTTTTTCCTGGACCGGACTACGAAGTTGAATGAGCCGATACAGATTCTGCTTCAAAACGGGTACAACTACAAGCAAGCTTTAGTTTTCATGACTTACAGGTACTGTCATCGACTTGAGACATGTTCAATCAGAAGCTATAAGGCTGTTGTCGGCTCAAGGCTAATAATAGACATTTACGGAGCTGATAAAAACAGCTCATTGTCGGAGCCACGTCGAAGCACATGATACCACCCTTCCATCCTATTATAGTGTCGATAGTTGCGAGACAGTGCAAATGCTTTCGGATGAAAGCAAATAGAAAGTAGTGCTACGTTAATCATGGTACCCATGAGCCATTCGGAGCATGAGAAGTACAGCGTCTCCCTCGATGACATGGAACTAAGCATCGAGTCAACATCTTGTGTGACCCACTCCTTCATACCAGGGTACGTGTGGCCCCGTTACAGTAGAAGAAGTGTAAGTGTCTTGGATATTCTCAGTTTTGCTCGGTAGGAGCGCACAAATCTACTATCTGTGCGTGGGCAAAGAAAGTTCCTTGGTCAAAATTAAGCGTCAGTGGCAGAAATCACACACCAAAAGTTGAAGCTTAAGGTTCTGAAATGCGTATAGCGTACCGAAGGACAGCTATTACAGCCGAGGCTACGGGAACAAATGTCATTTCTGAGTCTTGATGGACCCAGCCGCATCGAAAACGACAGACAGTTGATGTTAAATGGGACAGGTTTGTCAATGCCACTTGAGAGAAACAGAAGAACTAGTTCGTCTCGGTGAGACTAGCAAATAGAACGGAAGCGGAGATACCTGAGGCTTTATGGATATGGGGAATGAAACCAGAAGAATCTGACGCCTAGAATTGTTCTTGGTCATTAAAACGATATGACCCCGTGTTTGCCGTGTTTAAAATACATTAGATTCAGATTGATTGGTGAAGCAAGGCAATTGACACCAACCATCCGCACACTCCAACACTTTTTCAGTGGGTGATGTTCTTCTCTCAGTTAGACTGTGCACGCTCAGTGACAACCACCAGCAATTTTTCGTTGTATTATAGTCAATGCCAACTTGCGAAGGTAAAACAGTTTCGCCAACAGCGAGAGGTGGCAGATAAGCCGTGGGTGACGCTACTGAATTGGGCAACAACCAATCACGCCGACTATAATCGCTAACAACACTGTCTATGTGGGTAACAAAGCTTCACACAACTCTGATATGTTGTGCACTGAGAATTAACCAGTTCAAAACTATGTATGAATAGTGGGCGATGCTGCCGTAGCTTATTTGAATCGAGCCAAATACACACAGCGCATAAGAGGGCAAATCTTATAAAAAGCGACCTGTCGTGGCATGTCTACGCGTGCGACTTAGTGTGGAACTGCTTTGCCTAGACAGGTTAGACAGGGAGTTTTTTCTGCACCCCCTCTCAACAGTCATAAAATGTGCGAGTTGCCGCACACCGTGTTGGGGTCCGTTCATTTCCAACGTGTGATACTACATCGTAGTTATTGTAACTCTAAACTTCATGTATATGCTTTTATATACAGCGACGAATTTCTTAAAATACTGATGAATGCTGCATGCACGCGAAAAACAAAATAGATGTGGGACGATGTAATCGGATTACACATACCCTGGTAACAGGGGTGTGTGTCACACCAGATGGGCAAGGTGTGACCACACCCAAACAAGAATACGCC